GCTAGATTTTGGCATTTAGCAACTGGCATACGGTTTAATGTGATGTCAACAACAACATACAACTCACGTTACATACCAACCGGCACATTACAGATCTACGATGATCTACGACGTACAAGTGCAGTGCTACTGAACATTGACTCATGATGGCTATGTGCTAACATTTCCATAACAACGTGTTCCTGGGGTGGATTATGCCATCCTTACGAAGGCTACTGCGGTAGTACTCACGTGTGGTTTTGAGCTATGTAAGTGCGCAAGTACATGGCCGTCCATCGGTCATTTGGATCTTCGGGGTATCTCCGGTAGTGGTATCTTTGGCAAGTTGTCATGCGTTCCGTGCTGTCATGTGTTCCGAGTTCCGAATGTGTCTTGCGACTGTTGCTCGCGTGCCTCGGTGTTTGTGATGCACCCTGGTGCCCGCTCGCTTCCGTTGCTTGTGCCTTCGAGGACGACCAATAAAACGACTTTACCATCTCTTCACATTGACTTTCAACCAGGACAGCCGTGCTTATGCAACAGTACTCGGTTTGGGGCCAATCAACACGTATGTCTCCTTCTTGCCTCGCTCGAGTCTCGCATGGATGGTGTGTGTGTGTTGTGTTTCCATCCTATTTAAATGTATGGCGACAGTCCCCCCATTTTTCGTGGTGAGACGTGTACTACACCTTTTCAGCGAATGAATGTAGAGTATGTTTGGGTGCGGTAGCTCGTCAGAGGCCGAAAGAGAAAGAAGGTTGACTCAAGACCTTGTTGCTTAGAGAGTAAGAGACATGCGGTAGGCCACACCATCGCCATGCAGCATGTCTGTCAATACATTCCATCCGCGTACCCCCCGGAGGCCCCGTAGACAGTATACTCTGCCGAGCACCCCAAACAGCCCCCCTGCTCGGTACGAGATACTATCTACGAAATCCCCGACACGACTATCATTGCCAGACAAAACGGCAGACAGAAAAAACCAAAACCCCTAACAATAAATCATCCACCATTCCAATCCAAACGACTCTGCCAATAGAACATGTCCCACGAAATCGCCGGATCTTCCAACAGAACACGTCCTGCAAAGCTTTCAAGCCTTGTGATGTCAAACTTCTACCCCTAAAAGGTCTGTCAAGAAAAATAAATCACCCTCTCGAGAAAAGTGCTCTACCCAATTCTCAAGCAGTCAAAACACGAACAATCACCCTTGGAAAATACCCGGCAAAAAGATCAACGTTCCATCAGAATCACGTCAGAACGGGGAGGACGGGTAACTCCGGGAAAACGTGTCTTACGTCCTGACTACTCAGAACAAATTCATTCCTCAGATAAATATGCATGTTTCAACTCAATGGCCAGTTCAAACTACAAGAACATGCCAAACCCTCTCTCCGACATCCAATACCTTGACAAAGAAACCACTCCACCAGCCCCCCTGCTGTAACATCCATTCCATCCTGAACAT